TTCTCTTAATTTTATAGCTATCACATAGGGGGTTCACATTCTATGTGCGTTTAGCACCATGCTATGGGGTGAATGGGCCCTTACTTGGCCCCCCACGATTATTTGATGTGCATAGATCACTTTTTTATACACCAAAACGTTCTCACAGAACTTGTCAAATTCTAAGAGGGTTATTCACAAATCTAGTCGAAGGATCAGTCGTAGCTCCGGCTGATCCTTCGGTTAGCTTTGGTCGCCGGAGCCCTTCGGTTCAGTAGAACCGAAGGGCTGCTGTACGGGCTATTTATCAGCTCACGAAGCTGGCCGAGCCGATGGCATATGCTTCGGCTCGACTGAGCCGAAGTGAAACCCGAAGCCGGCCGAAAGCCTCGCAAATGACGGCTGCCTCCGCCCAGTTGGAATGACAGATCAGCGCCCCGAGGTTACCTGGGGACGCTGAACTGTCATTAAACAATGACAACTTGGCGGAGCAACTTCACTCCGGGTCGGTTATTCACTGGGCTGCCTTCGGCAACTTTGTGAATAACCCTCTAAGTTCTTTCCACATTGTGCTTGGACAACCATCAACTTTTGCTTACCTGAAAAACTACAATCAACCCTTGAATAATTCTTCGTGCTCCTTTAACGACAGTCCTTTCCATCCAATCTTCTCCTTTTGTATACTTGAAGAAAATACTGCCTCAGCTTCATCCCCAGTAATATTATGGGAAGCTCACGAAGCCACCCTTTGGGGAGTCAATATTTCGCTTGCTGCATAAAAAAAAACAAAAAAATAATTCCAAGATTTCATTCTCATCTCTTCACCTTGAGCAAATCAAGAAACAGTTTAAATACCACACTTCTCCTTCTCTGTGTAAACAAGTTGCAGCAGCCTGATTGGATGGAATTAAACATAAGGCCAAAATCAATTGCGTTGGGCCAAAAAGATCTTTTACGCTCGTGCAAACAAACTGGGCCCAACTCCCATCTTAAAGATACAAAATAGAGCTGCAACTAATATTTATTTTCATAATGGATTAGTTGGCCGATTATGTTTTCGATTAATCGGATAAAAACATTAAATAAATACCATCCTTAGTTTAAAATAAAATACACATATGCAGTGTTACAAACAAAGTTTACTTCAGAATAAAACTGAATGCACAATTTCTTGCAATCACACTGCACTAGAAGGCACAGCATTGCGGTACTGTGTGTTCCAGTGCGGGCAATCACACTGGGTGGGAGGCGCGTTTGGGGTGCCACTGAAATGAATGGCACTGCAGCGCACCTCCCACAGCAGAATTTGTCATGCCGAAAACGAAAATGGCTTTTTCCCCCCACCTTTTACTGAATGTAAATACAGCAGGTAGTGGGCTGATGCAATAGCCAGTCTGCTGTTGGCCATTTCAAATTGCAATAGCAGGCTGGCTATAGCACCCGCCCACTGCTTGCTGTGCCCTCCTACCAGCATAAAGGAGAGAGCTAGGGGATCCAACCAACTAATCGATAATGAGAATAGTTGAAAACTATTCTCATTATCAATTATTATTGAAATAAACGATTAGTTGGTTGCAGCCCTGCATACAAAGCCTATCAAACTGCACTTGGTTACTAACTACGTCACCTATAATCCATTCACTATAGTCAACAAATTCACATCTATATTATCCGACATGCAGTATATCAATCTCCTGCCCCTTTTCAACACACTATGGCTGACTTTTTGTAGGGGTTAAAGGAGAACTATAAGGTGAGTGCTTTTCACTCACCTCATAGTTCTAGCCGATCTGTGACAATGAGACTGTCACAGGTCGGCTCAGTAGATCGGGAGGTGAGCGAACACATGCCGGTGTTCGCTCACTTCTCGATCCTGTCACGGCTCTCTGCCGTGACAGGGGAGGGGATGGATTCCCCCCGCTCCGATCCGCCAGCGCTGACTGGCGGAACGGACGGGGGAGGGGGCGGGTACAGCTGGCTCTGCCTCTAGATAGGCAGAGCCAGCTGTCACTCACGCAGCTGGGCGGATCTCGACATCGATGTCGGGATCCACTCCGGCGTCTCAGTATACCACGAGCTGTAGCTCGCGGTATACTGAGCTTAGGCTAACGGGAGGACGCTAGTTTGTGTCCTCCCGTTACCCTAAGGAGAACTATGGGGAAAACCCCTGACCCCATAGTTCTCCTTTAAGCTCCCTACTTTGTCACAGGAAATGATAGACAAAATAGAGACCACCCCGCTCAAGGTTCTCAAAGATATCAAAAAGCTTAAGCTGAACAAAACCCTGGGCCCAGATGGCTTTTCAGCATCTTACTACAAGACGTTTTCTGCAACTCATGCCCCTCATCTTGCTAGCCACACTCATACAGATTTACACTCATCTTTACTGATGGCACAGGTTAGGTAAAGACTCTGGATCCCCAAACTTACAAGCCAATTTTGCTCCTTAATATTGACATCAACATTTTAGTATCCTCCCTAATGAAACAATATTTTCCCTCAAACCAAACATTAACTTTGATTGGCTTCCATCTTTCTTCAATTATTGATGACTAGGTCTGACCCATTCTTACCAAACCTTGTATGCTGCTAATTACCTCACAACTAACTTTTCGGCAACTCAGAACACTTTATTCCTGATCTCGCCATATAATGTCCTGGATGGGAAAAATTAACACTAAAAAATGAATATATTGCCAAAGCGTTTATATTTATTCCACACCCTTCCTATCCCCATCCCCTTTTTCACACTTAAAGGAGAACTATGGGGTCAGGGCTTTTCCCCATAGTTCTCCTAAGGGTAACGGGAGGACACAAACTAGCGTCCTCCCGTCACCCAAAGCTCAGTATACCGCAAGCTACAGCTCGCGGTATACTGAGACGCCGCAGCTGGAACAGACCCAGACATTACTGTCGAGATCCACCCAGCTGCGTGAGTGACAGCTGGCTCTGCCTATCTAGAGGCAGAGCCAGCTGTACCTGCCCCGTCCGTTCCTCCAGTCAGCGCTGGAGGATCGGACGGGGAATCCCTGCAGGGAGCCGTGAGTGACAGTCACGGCTCTCTGCAGGGAGATGATCGGGAAGTGAGCGAGCGACGGTATGTGTTCGCTCACTTCCCGATCTATTGAGCCGACCTGTGACAGTTTCATTGTCACACATCGGCTCGAACTATGAGGCTGAGTGATTTTCCCTCACCTCATAGTTCTCCTTTAAATCTTCCCAGAACTGTATCATGAGGTTTATCTGGTCCAACCAGAGACCAAACGTTTCTAAATGAACATTGTTCATCCATGAATGTCTGGGCAGGCTCGGAGTCCCTTATTTCTCTAATTATTTTACACTTTCACAAATTACTCAATTAACTACTTTGCATTCAGAGAAGCCCCTCAGTGACTACCGGTAGTATATTTGGAAGCATTTTGCTGCTCACCAGTGACACCCCCAAGCAGTGGCGTCCCGAGGGTGGGTGTCACCCAGAGGGGGTTGGGACCGGGTGACACCACTGTGACGTCATCACGCACGCGCAGTGGTCTTTTTTTTTTTTGTAATTAAGTTTTTATTCAAGTTTTAGTGTATAGTGGTGTGTAGTGGTCTTTTTGACGCCTGCCATCTTGGTGATGGACGCCGGCAGAGAGAGGGGGGACGTTCACCCGGCGGGATAAGGTATGCCGGCGGGTCCCCTCCTCTCTCCTTACCATGTCGGGCTCTCGGTCTGTGACCGGGTGCCCGACATTTCATAAGGGGTGACACCAAAATGACTGTCAGTCATTTTGGTGGCACCCAGGTTCGGGCCGCACCCCCCTTGTGACGCCACTGCCCCCAAGCACTCTCCTGGTTCCCAGCTCAACCCAGGCCCTAATCTATGTATCATATTAGGTACCTATGTGCCCCTTACAGCTAAACAAACCATTGCAAGGGCTTGGAAAATACGGTGTCTGTACAGGTGCACGCTGACCGGGCTGTGTGCATTGACTTACCCTGTGTCTCTCCTCTTCTCCCGCCTGAAGATCTCTACTGCGCATGCGCCCGCCCCATGATTCTTTGCGGCCACCTGAGAATCTTCAGATCTTCGGACCGGAACGCGTGGTGGAGACACAGGTAAGTTTTAACCTTTTTGGTGATTTAAAAAAAAATGTGTTTGCATATGTCTACTGCTTGCTAGCACTAGATTTATGCAAAAAAAACAGAAAGTTTAATTATCCTTTAAGGGTCTTTCTCTGCAGCATGCTGGCAAGGGACAGACTTTTCTACATTGGATGTGGCTGTTCAGAAACGTATGTATAGTGTGCAGAGGGTTATTTCAGAAATGTCTGTTTATTAATTTACATCACAGCTGGCTCTGCCTCTAGATAGGCAGAGCCTGCTGGCAATCAGCCAGCTGGGTGGATCTCGACAGCATTGTAACGATCCGCCCCGACTGCGGCGCTCTCAGTATATAGCGGGCAATAGCTATACTGAACACAATACAATACTGAACTTTGGGTCACGGGAGGACGTTAGTATATGTCCTCCCGTGACCCTAAAGAGAACTATGGGATAAAAAGGTTACCCCACAGTACTCTTTTAATCATAACAAACATAACTCCCCTGCCCCCTCCTTATACAATACATAGCAAGGGAAAGCTAAATAAGATTTGACATGAAATAAACATGTAAGCAGCATTTTTTACATGTTATGTAGTGTGAATAAAAACATGTGATATATATATAAAGTCTGTATTATCCCAATTTGGCTGCAAATGCAGCTTGCCTGGCTTGTTCTGTTTTCTGGGTATATATTATGAAACGCCTTTGACAAAATGGCTCCCTCTCATGAGCCAATACACACCGCTACCGCTTCAAACTCTGCCCGGACGGCAAGCTCTGCCCTCTATAATAGAGCCTGAATTCCATCTAATTCTCATTGGCTGGTGAGAAACTCAATCATTTAGCGTTGATTGACATAAGCCCCGCCTCCTTAACCCAGCGACTTGTACCAGCCTGGACAGCCACGTCCGCTTCCCCCACCACCCGGAAAAGGCGGTGCTAGTGCGGAGCTCGTACCTGGTCCCGCCCAGCTCCTCCCATTTCTTGTGGAATACGTATCACGTCGCCATTGACTGAGGGATCCTGATAATTGTACGGGAGGCGGCGAGACACATTCACACCCTCCACCCCCTTCTGTCTTTTTGGGACTCGACGGCGACGACGCACACCGGGCCACCGACATGGCTCTGCTCCGCAACCTGCTTCTTCTCCTGCTGATTGCCTTTCCGGTCACACTGCTCGGCAATGGCAGAGGTGAGGGAGCTTCCTAGACGTGTGTGTGTGTGTGTGTGTGTGTGTGTGTGTGTGTAAAGAGGACCTGTCTCCGGTGTTTGCTACGTGTGTGTAATGCATGTGTGGCCTGCATGTTTCCTCGGTGTGAGCTCTGCTCTGCTCTGTGCTCTTCTACCTTCCGCTTTACTGCAGCTCATAGCGGCCAGCCATGTCCGGTTATACGCAGGCAGCGCTCTGTGTACATCGGGCCTATGGCTGACGTGTCATTCTGCGTCTACTGCTCATTCATTCTATGACTCCTCCCCGTATCGAGCCAGCTATGGCATTGAGTCAGCCTGGACTGCTCCCCGAGATTGCTTATGGGGTGTGAGAGATCATGTGCTAGGATCTGAGAAGAGAGCCATATATTGAATCATTAGAACTTAATTCATGGCATATGTGTGTAAAGTACTTGGACACTGCCCAAGCACAAGACCCCATTCAAACCTGAGGGTTCTGTTGTATTTCCTGAAACGCAACAACGCTCATCGTCATCCATTCATACCTGAGGTCCGGTGCAGACTTGGGCGATCCCGGGAAGCGTGCGATCGTGTGTGGTTGCCACGCGGCCCCATTGATTTCAATGAGGTTGTATCCGTGCGAAAATCACTGAAAAAAAGGTACTTTTTTTTTTCTCGCAATGCACACCGTGCTGTTTTTTCAGCTGTGATTGCACAGGCAGAATCGCGGAGGGAAACTGCACAATCTGCATGGCACAACTGGGGTTCAATTAGAAAAGAATGGCACCTCCTGCGCGATCAGCAATGGTGTGCGATTTCTGTGACCCCCGCAGATTTGTGCATGATTGCTGTGCGGTCACGGATTGCCTGGCGCATGCTCACACAATGCCAAGGTGTGGACGGGGGGCTGAAGGAGCATTGTCTACCTGGGTAGTAGGATTTGTCCAGCCCATAATACATTTTAACTTGTAAATGCTAGTAAAGGTGCCCATACACCTTGCGATGATTGTACGACAATCGCAGGAAATCCCGCGATCGTACGATAATCGCAAGGTGTATGGAAGGCGTGCGACCGGTTTTACTGTACGGTCGCACGTCTTTGTCGAACCAGCATGCTAGAAAACCCGCCGAGAACCGTACAATTCTTGGCGGGTTTCTAGCCTGCTCGCTCGACAACTGCGGAACGGGCCGGTAGGCGCACAATGCTCGTGCAGCATTGCGGTCATCGGAAGCCCGCCCCTCAGCGGGGCAGGCTTTTGATGATCGCAAGTACGATCTGCCTGTCCAAGATGGGCAGATTGTACAAGCTTTTAATAAGCTTACGACCATCGCAAGACAAGTCTTGTGATGGTCGTAAAGGAGAACTATGAGGTGAGTGCTTTTCACTCACCTCATAGTTCTAGCCGATCTGTGACAATGAGACTGTCACATGTCGGCTCAGTAGATCGGGAGGTGAGAGAACACATACCGGCGTTGGCTCCCCTCTCGATCCTGTCACAGCTCTCTGCCGTGACAGGGGAGGGGCTGGATTCCCCGCTCCGATCCGCCAGCGTTGACTGGCGGATCGGAAGGTGGCGGGTACAGCCGGCTCTGCCTCTAGATTGGCAGAGCCAGCTGTCAGTCACGCAGCTGGGCGGAGAAATAAGTTCTCTCTGGTAGTGATAATCTTGGGCCTGATGACTGCTGTGTAGTGTAAACCTGCCAGCTTCACACATACTGGATATTAGTGTTGGTGCTCTTCTTCCAGCACAGCAGCAGAGAGCTCCAGCTCTCATAGATTGAAGAATCATATAATTTACACTCCTCTCCCTCTCCTCCTGTATTCTGTAAACATTGGGGGGGGGGGGGGGGGTGATTTATCAAAACTGAAGCTGACAAAATCTGGAGCAGTTATCCATGACAATCTGCTTCTCTCTTCAGTCTGTTCAGTTAAGCTTTGATAATGAAAGGTGGCTGCTGATTGGTTTCCATGCACAGCTACTCCAGATTTTGTCTGCTCCAGTTTTCATTAATTCCCCTCATTTGTGTTCTGTGAATGGATAAATGGAGAAGAGGGGGCAGGTACAGGTCAGGATCTCTCCTTGTCCATTCACAGAGCACCTCTTCTGTCGGCAGAATACTGGTCTTTCTCAAGACCGATGAGGGGAGAGCTATGTAGATAACCTAATCCTTTATTGTATGAGGGTTGGCACTCTCAGTTGCAGTGCCGGAAGAAAAGCACCGACAGTGATACCCACTATCTGTGGAAATGGAATCTTTACATGGCAGCAATCGAACCCTAGGATTGCAACCAATAGAGAATGCACAATCCTAATTTTTGTTTTCTGGAGTTTTACTTTAAAGGAGAACTATAAGGTGAGTGCTTTTCACTCACCTCATAGTTCTAGCCAACCTGTGACAATGAGACTGTCACAGGTCGGCTCAGTAGATCGGGAAGTGAGCGAACACATACCGGCGTTCGCTCACCTCTCAATCCTGTCACGGCTCTCTGCTGTGACAGGGGAGGGACTGGATTCCCCCCGCTCCGATCTGCCAGCGCTGATTGGCGGAACGGACGGGGGAGGCAGCGGGTACAGCTGGCTCTGCCTCTAGATAGGCAGAGCCAGCTGTCACTCACGCAGCTTGGTGGATCCAGACATAATTGTCGGGATCCGTTTCAGCTGCGGCGTCTCAGCTACCGCAAGCTGTAGCTTGGGCTGACGGGAGGACGCTAGTTTGTGTCCTCCCGTTACCCTTAGGAGAACTATGGGGAAAAGCCCGAACCCCATAGTTCTCTAACAAAAAGTGAGGCTATCTTTCTAATGAGAGGGCAATCTCCTCTTAGACAGCTGTCACAGGAACTAGTGTCCCCATTGGAAGATTTCCCCTCTATTCCTGTTCTTGTGGCAACTCCAAATTTTGGTGGTACTCGCACTTTCATTCCTGGTGACATTGGTGCTGAGGACAGTTGGAGAGAGTGGATTTACCTAATGGGTACACAGACTGCGATAACCGAACAGGTTGTCACCTCTCAAAAATAAAATAAGTTTTGTCTTTAGTTCTACTTTAAAAAACACTGCTAGCAGTTTGAGCCTAAAGTGACTTTGTTAGAATACCACGTTGGAAAGTAAAGGGTTAATACTTACCCCCCTCCTGGTGCCTCATTGCCGATGGCCATATCCGGGTGTCTCAGGTGTCTAGTAGTCCCTCTTGAGTGCTGAGGTTCTTCCTCCAGCCCCTGTACTGTGTACATAGTATACAGCAATGTGATCCCCTCTGATGTGGCCACTAAAAACTGAAAGAGGCAAATGAATGAGTATAAGGCATGAACTGGGTTTCTGTTTAATCCTTCCTCATTTTTATCTAGCAATTTTGCTCCAATGTGTTTTTTGTTCACTTAAAGACGGTGCCTCCCAAATCTGTCCTCAGATCTTACCAACAGTTCATGTTCTGTGGGTATCCAAGCTGAGAAACCTGCAAAATGTAATCCTTATCTAATACTATAGGACATGTTTGGGGGACACTGGGTTAAGGCTGCGTTCACACTATCGCGCCTGCTAAAACGCTCTGTTTTTCTGGGTGGACTAGTGTGCTGTGACTGGACTGGGACAAGGTGTACACAACTTCTAGGCCTGTACACAGCTGTGCAGTGTGTGCTGCCATCCAGTATCCTGCAGAAAAATGCAGCATATCTACATGTTTCCACATCATACCTCTGTTCTGTGAATGGGCCACATGGAACACAACTGTTTTCTATGTGGTCTAGTGCTGACCTGCATTTTTCTTGTGTTGAGAAGCATGGGGCACTGCCATATGTGTGAACATAGCCTAAGGGAAGGTATAGAACAGGGGTAGCCAAACTCCTACCCTCCAGCTGTGGTGGAACTACAAATCCCATGAGGCATTGCAAGATTCATCACGGGATTTGTAGTTTCACCACAGCTGGAGGGCCGGAGTTTGGCTACCCCTGGTATAGAAGATGGAGCAGGGGCACGTGTCCTTAGTGGAAAAGATACTGACGGCTTCTGTCACAACATCTGTTCATCACCTGTACATTTATAAAGTACCATATGTAACCCCCATTGACATTGTTAACATCGATTTTAGTACACTTGGCTTCTCCAGAATCTGCAGTGTTCCTTTATACATGCCTATACCCCATGGAGCATCATGAAGAGGTTGGATCTGCCATGGTGGCTTGCACTGTAGTGAGTAGAGTATCCCAAGGTAGTTCTTCCACTTGCAGATCTTTGTGGGTTGATTTGGTCACCTCTTCCAGGGTATAAAAATTGGGAGCTGTGACAATATTGGAGCAGTCGGGTGCTTTATATTTAAAATGATAGGTTATAGGTAGGGCTGCAACAACTAATCGACATAATCGATTATAATCGATTATTGAAAAAGTTGTCAACTTTTTCAATAATCGCTTAATCAGCTTCCGATCAGTTGGCCCTGTTCACAGCTCCACACGCTGTGCGCCGCACCTCCTCCCCACCTCATGCTCGCCGCTGCCAGACCCGCTCGCATCCACGCTCCACACGCCGCACCTCCTCCCCGCCTCACATTTCCTGCCCATCC